CGGTTTTAGACATTATTTCCGTAAATAATCCATTTTGGGGGGCTCTTTTCAACTGTCCCCTGGCTACAAACCCCAAAATTTGCTGCCGATGCTTCAATTTAGCGATCCAAACCAGGTTTAGATTTATGCCCAACTAGTTTAGATATTAGCTAAACTTCCGAGTCAGCGTAGATACCAAAATCGGGTTTGCCTACTATCCAAAATAACTAGCTGGGGCCATATCAGCTATCCGGAGTTGGTGTTGTACACCGATATTCCGGCAAAAATCCAAACCCTTTTTTTTCAGTGTACGAAATTAAAAAGTATATCATAATTAATTAAGCTTCTTGCAATTAGTATGCTGACATCTATCGGTGAATATCGCAAACATTGCAGTGACTTAACATTCCTCATTTCGTCTGTGTGTTATATCGGATGCAATGGCGTAACGGTTAGGGTGTAAGGCTAGAAATCGGTAGTTCCCGGGTTCAATCCCCAGGTATGTCCCAAAATTTAATGCGCGACGAACTTAGGCAATATACACCCTGTATAATTGTAAATCAAATTAGTTGACCATAATTTTGTGATTTTGAATGTATATTTTATTTAATAAATACTTACATGCCGTCAAAGGCCAGAAATTAGGGGCAGAGTCTCTGGAAAAGTTTCCAGTGATACCAAATAATTTTTCCCGTCATTTCAAGGATATTTTCCAGTTATTCTGAGGATAATTCCAGTTACCACAAGGACTCCATCCATTAAAAACAAGGATAATTTTCCAGTTACTTCAACTAGAAAAAATCTAACTGGCTATTCCAGTTGATTCAAGTATCATTCCATTCCGGGAAATATTTATTGGAGTAGTCTCTTTGGATCAAGTAGTTTTCTGGTTGATCGGACTAAAAAATTATCTCAGTGTATGGTAACTCTTTTTATAAATGAAATGTTACTTTCTTCTCTTGATTCGTCTTTTCAATGTTCCAAACGTAATTTTCGAGCAAATTTACCCCTCATTAGTATATTCTGTTGGCTATATCTTTCCATGCAACGGACATGGCACCACTGCCACTGTCGATTTTTCTCGATCATCAATACGAAGAAAAGTCTCGAGATTAGTGTCAAATCCTAAGTAGTCGGCTAAGTTGTAGTAGTAGATCCTAAGTGCTGAATTGATTGCGCGCAATACGCCGGGGTCAAGGAGATTGTGAGCTTTTCTGACCAGAAAATCTCACTTAGCAGGTCATTCAGCGGCGTGGTGCCAACGCGAAACGCGCGCTCGCGCTGGCGCCTACAAACCTAACAGAGATACTTCAAGCACTGCGCAATGTGTGAAGTATCCCTGTTAGGTCTGTAGGCGCCTATTGCCCGCCGCGCTGCGGAGTGCCACTACGCTTCAAGCAACTATTTTGAAACAGAGGTTTTGCGTTGCACAGTATCATATGAAATTGAAGGCGCTCTAACGCATCAAGTCTGACAGACATCCTTTAAGAGTACGAACTTTCCTCGCAAAATAAATCAAGGTACTACCACACAAAAAGAGAGCGGTACTCCAAAAAACTCACCAAGTCCTAGCATCCGTCTTTAATAACGTTCAGCATAATTTTTGAATTTCATTAGAGAAAAAAGTAACTCGATTTTGACAGAAAAATTCTTGAGTATGCCGCCGTCAACAAAGATTTTATTTTGAACCAAGAATAAAACAGCTGAATGAAAGCAGGTTTCTGCGTGATGTAAGTGACTTTTCTTCTTATATAAGCATCTTTTTTTCTTTATACAGGCATTATTTTCTTCATTGATTCGTAAGCAAATCTTCTCGGTAGTAAATTTGAGCATATTTCTGCTTGAATCAAGTCACTTTTTCCTCTAATGAAGTTCAATAACCATACGTTACTGAACATGGATACCAGGACTTGGTAAGTTTTTTGACTACCGCTCCCTTTTTGTCGTTGTCACTCGATTTAGTTTGCAAGGGAACTTCGTGCTTTTGAAAGATGCCATCAATCATGATACGTTGGGGTGCCTTCAGTCTTGTATGATACTGTGCAACATCTCCGCGGCGAAGTAGTAGCTCGAAGCGCCGCAGCACGCTGTCGCCGGCGCCGGCGCCAAGTTATCGTACACAGGAAAAATCTAAGAGCCTTTGGCTGAGGCAAATCAAAAGGTTTGTCCAGTTCATGTATGACAAGATGAGATTTTCTTGAAAGATAATTAAGTCCTATTGCACCAAAGAGGTGTAGAGAGTTTTACTGAATTTTTCTACATGGAATTGACGCTCACCCATTTTTGCCAAAAATCTAAATTAAATATTTTCCTCCGTTGGACCAAAGAAAAACAAGCAAACCTTCATTCTTCCAAGACCTTTTACATGTTCATCGTACAGGTCGTGAGCGATTGTCGTTTGTATTTAGATGTGAACTTTTTAATTTGGATCTCAATTGGTAGGTGGACCAAAACTTGCCTGCAGAAAAAACGCGTAAACTGCTATGAAAAACAGGTGCGCAGAAAAAAAATTGTCGGCGAAATGTCCAATAACCGGAAATGTGGGGTGTGCTCTATGAAGCTGCATAAGAGACAGCGTAAAAGGGGACGTGATTCCTTTTGTGGAAATGGAAAAGTGCCAAAATATGCGGCACTCGTGAGCCGTGGGCATGGAACAAGAGCGTTGTGGGCAGGGCTCACGAGTTGAAGATCGCCACGGGCAACCGCGGAGGCGGCTTTGTCGCGGCTGACGTCACTGGCGCTCTATCATTCCCATTCATTCTTACGCGGCTCTCAATGGGTCAGTTGCGCTGGTCTAAGAATCGTGTTTTGATCATTTATTTTTGTCGGTCGCTAAAAATATTAAAATCCATCTAAACAGCAACCTTTTACGTTCAATATCAACCGAGATATATCGCTTTGAAAAATTCGGTTTATGACGTCATCCATCGCGGTAGTGACACCCTTAGTTTCTTCCACCAAGCTTTCATCCAAAGTTGCAGGTTGTGTAACCAGAGCATATTTGCGTTTCCCTGACTAATAGAAGCGTTGTGGAAGAAATCAAAAGTGTCACTACCTCAGTATGGATGACGTCATTAACAATTTTTTTCAAAGCGCGATATCTCTGTGAACACTCAACGGAGAGAGTTGCTGTTTGGACAGATGTTATTATTTTTAGCTAAACTACAAGAAGCAAGCATCAACACGAGATTTTGTGACCATTTAACGAGCACACTCCTCTTTCACCCATCTCTGGTTCCTTTTATAGCAGAAATACGTCCAACTAACCTGACTGTCACTCTGCCGTGCTAAGGAGGAACGCCGTATGAACATTCGAGAGTTGCCAAATTTCTCCGGATAAAACATGTATTTCTTCGTAAAGTTATGCATATTTTTGCGTGAAATTTTCAGATGTTTCAGATCAAGTTGAGAACAAAATTATCTGGAAAATTTGTCAAAAAATATGAACAATTTTTCCATTAAATTCGATTTTTATTAAATGAGATCTGGCAACGTCTAAAGGCTCACACGGCGTTTTTCCTTAGCGCGGCAGCACTCGACTTTCTCCTGTCCCAGTCTTTTCACGTCCACACGACCAAGACAAAATTTCAACAAACGGTCCGCCTGAGTCCATTTACAAGTATCAATGAATCAAGGTTGCCAAATTGAGCATAATAATGTGGATAAATTACACGGGTTCAAATAGGGGAAAGTGGTGATACTGGCGTACAATGCGGGAACTCTGCACTAAATGGCTGGAAACTCTTACCTGGGGGCAAGAATAGGTACTGAGCCGGGAGCAGTCCTCGAGGGATATATCAGTGCCGTTCCTCCGGACGGTGGCGAATAGCTGCGGGCAGAAGCCGCTGGTCTTGGTCAGGCACCACTCCCCGCAAGAAGCCCAGTTGCAGTTGTTGACCAGAGTGCTGTTCACCGTCTGGCACATCACTGGTTCCGGCTCCATCCCCGCGTGGAAGGCCCGGTGCGAAGGGATGTACACGGCCACCGAGAGGTAGACGAACGACACGCACGAGAGGACGATCGTCAGCTGGCACAGACAGATGCTTCCGCAGATCTTCTTGTCCTGCTCCGGAACCACCGGGATCTTGTCTTTCCGTCGCCGGCTCATCCCGAAACTCCGCCAATCACGCCAATGATTTTGCTCCGCTCCGAACGCAAGCTCCAATTAACTATCTCCTACCTGGCAAGGCAATGAATTTTCCACGCCTTGTCCCAGAAACTACGTTAAGGGTAGAATTTTAGTCCGTTTAGGGTTTCTTGCCAGAGTAGATTATCTTGAAATCCCGCGAATCAATCTTATTCTTCTGAACGCGAGCTCGAATTAAAGGTCTATTACCTGGCAAGGGGATATTTTTAAGGGCTTTTACTAGAAATGACGTTAAGGGTAAAATTTTAGTCCGTTTAGGGTTCCTTTCTAGAATAAGTTATCGTGAATCTCAACGAGTTGCGTTATTAAGTTATATTAATCCAACCGCATGAAACGATTTTAAGGGCAGAATTGTGGTCCGTTTTGGGTTTCTAGATAGAATTGACCATCTTGAATATCAAGAAATTGAGTCACTAGTTTATATTCCTCCAACTACTAAAATCAGCGTAAGAGTTACTGTTTAGAGGATTACGATGTAATGTTTGTTTTTAGACAGGATAACTCTGGTTTTCTTTTGAGTGCAAGAAATGAGATCGGAATATAGTCTATATATATTGAGACTGAATAATTGGATTTTATTGTATTCACCTCAGTCAATTTTGAAAATGTTCAATTTAAACGTGATTTTAAATTACCAGTGGAATTAGGCTGTAAGTTAATGTCTTAGAAAATGTCGTAAAAAGGAGTTTTACGTGAACGGGCTGAGGTAAGAGCAAGTGTATTTTTAAGATAAACGGTGAAACTATATGTGAAATTTTCTTTGTTTGGTTCGCTCAGATGATTAAATAATCTTGTAATCGCTGTCAATTCTTGTAGGTAAACGTATTGCGTGAGAAAAAAATTTATATGTGAAAATTTGCTTCCATGCAAATTTTATTATAAGGTCTTAATTAAATTTGTCTGTGCGTTTTACCAGTTTAAGTTAGTTTCGCAAGTTGAATAAGGTCAGATATTAATAAAATTATCCACGGTTGAAAACAATGAAAAATGTACAGTTCGATTCCTTGTTTGCTTTTCGGTCTTCAATCACATTTAAGTCGGTTAAAAATTCCGGTGCGGCTTAAGAGCTAATTGATGTTTTCACTAACCCTGAGGAAATCTACGTTTTATATTGGTCAATTAAACAACTATTCAGTCTTCGATGTCAGTCAGATTGTAGTCGGAGGCAAAACTAACCTCTGTGTGAATATTCAACTCAGAACTTAATTTATTCCAGTCTCAAAAGTGACGTGAACAAGTCGATGAAACTTTGGTTTCTCGAGTTCTAATCGCGAGATGAATCGTTTATTAGTTACTGACGAGTCTTCGCGCACAAATCACTCGCTCTTGAAAGATCGTGAAAATAGCCCAAGTCTGGTGATTCTCTTAAGAAATTAGATACTTTAAGATTATTAGAAAAATAAACAATAGAAAAGAGAAAGTGAAAGCACTTAAAGTTCGTAAGGAAACTATTAATTTGTACTGTTTGGGAAAAACTTGTCAAAATTAAAACGTTCTCTCTAGCATGTTGCCTCGCAATGGCTTGATTTTGGTTTTCTTTTGGAAAAAAACTTGTATGATGCACTGGAAAGATCTAATTGAGGTCTGCATCTTCAAGAACTGATCTGTATTCTTAGCGGGAGTCGGTCCATTTTTTTGAGCAGGTGACGATTTCCAAAAATTTCCAAGTTTCCGACGGTTCTTGTTGTAGATTTCATCCTATAACAATAGAAAGGAGACTCTATAGATGAATTGTATTTATCAATTTTTGGATCGTTTTATTATTAACTAAAGTTGGAAGATGCGTATTTTCGTTTGCGACGTTTACAAACGTTCGATCTGCTACCGAAGGATTCTACGAGCCAGCATCAAGATGAACAATGATTTGATACAAATATCAAAACTCCGGTGTGGGTGGTGGAGTATCAAACAAAGCTGAAGGCATTTTTGACTAGTGATTACAGTTTGCCGTAAGTAACAGGAAAGCGTAGCAATAAACGTATCTAATTAACCCGTATCTCCCTTGAAGACTTCAGGATTAGGATCTGCCAATATAAAAAGCATTTGCTTTTGCCAACAGTTTCTATTTAATCACTCGCTTAGGGGTATAATCAAGATAATCCCATTCAGGGAAAAAATATTCACGCGATATTAGACCAATATTTGTTGAAGGTTTATCAGTTCATTGCATCGATTTTGTCCCGATATTTTACCAGCGTTGAATTAGTAACATCAATGAATTCAACTGGTAACACCAACCAATACCTTGCTCGTGTCCTTTTACTTACGGTTAAAAGTCGAGTATTTCACTATGTCGATTTAGCATTGCCGCATTTTCACTGCGTTATTTTTCTTTATATTTTACGAATAATTTTTTAACGTTTATTTTAACGTCCATTCTATATTGAAATGATAACTTCAAACATTATTATCTAGTTAGCTTGTCAGTCAGTTATTATTGTGACAAGGTAGTAAATTAGTGCTGAATCCGCACCATTTTGCGGGGAAAACGAGGTCAAAAAGTTCAGAAATTTCAATTAGAGTCCAAACTTTTGAGCTGCTATGGACCCAACGGAGTTTTATGTTATAGAGCTCTCGACGTGACCTCCGCTTACTATTCCAATGCATCTGCTTGAGCTGAATACTCTCTCCCCTCAGTCTTGTACTGATACGTAGGTATTAGAGCTCAGAATTTTTGAATCCAATTGACTATTTTGTACTTTTGTCATGGGAACGGAGTTCCCCATGATATTACAATCGTTCCGTTGCTTTCGCAATGGGATTCCCTATACCTCTGCGACCTTGAGCGTTTCGCCCAGTCTCCGATTTTTGGTTGATTTTCCGATGTATCAAAAACCGTTGTATTTTTTAGCCAATCATGTCTCTACGTCAAGTTGTGTTGATT